CTCTAGGTATAATAAATAATCGAGCAGCTGAAACTGAACCTAGAAACAACCTCAAATAGCCCATCAATGTGCTATTTTATAAGTAACATTAACAGGGTCATGATTAGTCATTTCCTGTGAATGATTAAAGAACCAAATTCTTTCAAAATCCTTGAAAGATCTGTACTGGTTGAGCCTTGTGACATCTCTTTCAAAATTGTTCTCAAACAGAACAAGTGCCCAGAGGATTGAAGGTTACCGATATATCACAAATCACCTTATTTCATCCTAGGAGGAAAAAAATAATTATATCTGCAAAGAATGATATGAGCCACATTTTAGATATAATACCCAATTATCCGTTTCATTTTAATTTATACATGCTGGGTGAGATCATTTATCATGTTTCATGAGAATGTCCAGGAAGCACACACAGCCAATTTGGATAGGTAGCAAATTACTCACCGTATTAACATAAGCTTATAAGATCACATCAACAAGTACTGTGCATAAATGAGATAATTACATTTACAATGAGCAGAAATGTTTGAGATGCCGAAATAATGGTCTCCTAATTGAACATCGTGGTTTGCTTTCTTAACTATAGTAATTTAGATCCAGTAATCAAGAATTACTGTGCTGCTGGAATACCAGCCAGGTATCACTGCAGGGCTCTGAATCTGGAGATGAATCTTTTATCATCAAGTCTTCCTTCTCGCCACCAAGTCATCCATCATGTTTCTGAGACAGCTTGGAATGATAGTGCTGGACCTTCACATTACTGCTCCTTGAACTCCATCTCATCCATCTTTTGCATCATGCCTGATTTGCAGCAAAGTATCGTCTCCCTGCTGCAAAACCAGGTGTGAACCCAATCATGCCTCTAACCTAGAGTGCCACTCTAATAGTAATTGATTTTTTTTAGAGCTACACTCAGAACTTGGAAATCCCATCTTTGGGAATTCATAAAGGGACATGATAAAAAATGCGATTGCTTCAGAGAACTCAAATCTATTTATTTATTTGCTTCTCTTCTTTAAATATAAATGTTACTGGTGTTTGTTTTGGATTCGTCTCAGATATGCCCACACATGGAAAATTGCAAATATTCTCTGTGCATAGACATACAGTATTATTTTAGAAACACTTCAAATTAAACAGAATACCTTTAGACATTTAAATTAATATATTTAATATGTATTCACCCTGTGCACCAAAAGTGGATCTTATTATTAACCCCTAGTTCATCATTCAAATAAAATCTGTTTCAAAATCTCCACTGACAATAAACCATTCAAGATTAAGAATAGTAATTCAGTTTCATCTGAATACAGCTATAAAAATTTAATAAATCAAAATGATCAAAATGCCCCAGTGGCAGATTGGAATTCTGTTTCCAATTCAAATTCTCTTTAATACATGGCTTCACTGACATCTTGCATTTTCTCATATCTAGGCTGAATTCCGAATGGGTTCTGCTTTCTGCTGTTACCAAGCATTGGGCAACCAATCTAGTTATCCAATCTCTTCTCAGCAATCCAACGCAACCCTTGAGAGATGTCAGACTTGGTAGATTTTTCTCTTGTACTCATCAGTGAATGGCAGACAAAAATCAAATATTATGAAAACCTCCCTTCTGAACTCATTAGAACAGAATATTCTGATTTTATACTTCTGCCCAAGGATTTCTTTTTATACAATATTAACAAAAGAAAAGTCTTTGAAGAGCTAATTAAGAGCTGCATCCTATTTTGAGATAAATCCAGGATTTCTGTTTCAAAGCATCTAATAAACATAGCATATTTTCCTGCCCAATACATACAATCTGAGCAGAGTATTAATACAGTCAGTGTGCCATTTTATCTAAAAAAGAACCTTTTCATGAAAACCTTCAATAAGAACGTATCTATTTTAGATTTTAAAATAATACCCTGTTTCTCTGAAAATAAGACCCAACTGGAAAATAAGTCCTAGCATGATTTTTCAGGATGCTCATAATATAAGCCCTACCCCCCCAAATAAGCCTCAGTTAAGATTGTCAGCCAGATGGGTACATTTAGTATCATATTTCCCCCAAAATAAGACCTAACCAGTAAATAAGCCCTAATGCGTCTTTTGGAGCAAAAATTAATATAAGACCCAGTCTTATTTTCGGGGAAACACGATCTGGGATGATGAATTCAAAAATATGTTCTATCATCAGGTCACTATGAATGACAAACTTCTTTCTGCAGTTGATTAAATTTGCAGAGATATCAGGATCCAAACTCTTTTTAACTCTAGAAAAGACAAGAAACTGAGCCTGAGATAATGAATTCTTGATTTGCGAGAATTATTAACGCAATCTCTCCATTTTGGAATTATTTTTGTGACCAAAACAATAAGACAGAACTGAGTAGAAATGGTTTTATTATTAATATCTGTTCCAGATGTTTCTGCCATTGCTGTGAATAATTAGTAGCCTATCTGCTACTATCACAGAGCATTTGGAAGGACACCATCCATCTTTGGATTAATTTAGAAATGTGTTTACTATGATATATTGTGAATATCAAAATAGAGAAAGTACACCCAGACTCATAGATCTGAATTAGATATACATAATTGCTCCTAGAATCTATCTTCTGATACTTGACTAAACAATGACAATGACAGATAAAGAATAGGAACACTTAAAGGAAAAACATCTCCTTAAGTAAACAGATAAAAGACAAATTCAATTTTATATTTTTGCCCTTTTACAAATTTACCAAATGTAAGCAATTCGAATTACTCAGACGGTATAATATTTGATGTTTTCTTCATGAACATTAGAATTGATAGAAATAATACTGCCTCTATTCCTCATCATTTCCATGCTTTTCCAAAACATCAACATCTGTTACTAAAAGCTGTAGGATTAATTTTTAAATAAAACCTGCATATATTTCAAAATTAATCCTTAAAATTTTTAAAATTAAAATACATACTGGTTTTATTTAAAAATTAATTTTATAAAAATAGTGTTTAAAATGTAATACATAATATTAAAATGTGAAAAAAGATATGTAAATAAGTAAAGAAATATTAGGAGACCTTTTCAATCATGTTCTATTAATAAGGAAAAATTCTCTTGAGGAAAAGATGGTGTCTGGCACCAGTTCATCAATGCTCAAGAATATAATCTATAATTTGTACCACTGTTTTACTGACATGCCACATTTTTAGGAAACATATCAGAGAGACCCAGCATGCAATAGTGGTTAATGTCTGGGGACTACGAGGGGGAGGCCCAGGTTCCAGGCCACCATCAGCTCATTGAATGACTTTGGAGCAGTCACTCTCTCTCCTAGTTTATCCTACTTCAACAGTAGCCTATCCTTAATACTGTATGGATGAAATTAATGGGGATCCTCTTGTAAGCTCCCTTAAATTCCAGGAGGTACAGCAGGCTAAAAACCAATTAGTTCAACTATGAAGATGCAATTTCCTACAGCATTTGACAACTTTCTTGAGACAACAAAAAGGACATAATTTGATGTGTACTGCAGGGGTGGTATTCACTTACCTTCGCTACCGGTTCGCAAATGTGAGCGTGCTTCCGCGCATACATGCAGGGTCTTCCGCGCATGCGCAAAGCATCAGAAACAAGAGGTGATGACATCTGGGTGGATGGGCGGAGCCTACCGCAGCCACCACTACCGGTTCCCCCGAACTGGATAGAACCAGCTGAATACCACCAATGGTGTACTGTTGTCAGTGAAACTAAGGTTTGGTTTTTACTCCACCATTTTCTGATGGACTTCACTTTTTAGAGTTACTATTGAAATGGACAACAGTAAGCATCATTCAGTATATGTATGTTTGCCACCTCTGTTTCCTGACACTTATGATTTCTCGGTTATAAATGTAAAAATATATAAACTATTTTTTCTTTCAATTATGTCTTTTTATTCTAACATTTTAGCCTGTTCATTTTCTATCTTCTGCTGACTTACCAGTATTAAGTGTTAAACTATATCTTATGACCATATATTCCTGGCAATAGAACAGAGCCAATTTTAATCTAGTTTATCAACAGCCGGTCTTATTCATCTCACATTCATTAAAACCTAGAAGTGTCAAGATTTGTCTTCTACAACTTGAAGATAGTCTTATTAGTCAAAATGATATAGAAGCAATACTCAAGACATGACAAAATAAATTGCATTTCATTGTATCATGTTTTTTATCCCCCTACAGTTGAGGGATCACATAGATCAAGATTCGTCAGTATGAGAATTCAGCACTGAAATTTTTGTTTGTTCCAAATAGCAATAGAAAGTCCTTAAGCATGCCCTGTCACTTTGGGTTTAGAAAGGAATGCACTAATAAACTCTTACCCCCGGTCATTTTTGACTATGGGCAACACTATGCCAGCTTTTATTAAAGGCAATTCATATCACTGGCCCAAAAATTTCCTTTAAAATTACCATCTTTTGTGTCCATAGAATATGACGTTGGCGTTAAAGTGCCATTAAGATATAGGTCCTGTCATTGTGCTTAATTTTCAGCACAATTTTAACACTGGAGAAGCTTTCTCCCCAGGGTATGTTTTTGACTAATGAGGCTTGTTTGATGGTTAACGAAACAAACAAGAAGAAAACACTTTCACTGGGTATTGCTTTTGAAATAATATAGTAAGCACAGCACTCTACATCCTCCAGCTATGAACTCATACTCCCAGGATTTTAGATACAGAATTTAAAATAAAGGGTACATCTAGCAATTATTTTCCATTAATTTTTATCTACAACCCAGTATAAGAATCATCTATATAACTGTGAGGTTTATAATAGTGTGATTTAGTAGTCCACCCTCTCTGTGGAAGCTTATTGGTTGTCTTTGGGTCCATTGCTTTGTCTCAGCCCAACCTATTTTTGGAGGGCTGGTTGTGGAGAAAAGTGAGAGGAGCTGCTTTGAGCTTCTGATGGAATATCAATCAAATAAATTAATGGTAAAATATAAAGGGATCATGTATGAGAAATCTAAGAAACCCTTACCTCGAACAATAAGTTGAGCAAAGTTGGAAACTCCAGATCCTCTCTCAGACTGAGTAACACAACGATATAAATCCTGATCTGTTTTTGTTACTTCCTGAAGTTTAAAGGTAGCAGCAAAACGTCTGTGATTTATGTTTTTTGTTTGGGCCACTGGAATATCTTCTCCATTGCGTCTCTGAAAACAATAAAACTCAGGGTTAAAAAGGCTGGATGATGTTGACATATGACATATCTGCTTGGAACAGTTAAAATACTAAAAGAAAAATGACTGTGTAGTTAATTCGATTCATCAAAATATAGCTTCACAATGTTTGAAAAAACACTTCCTGACCTTCTATTATGTTTGTTTACCTATGTTATTTTAAAATATGCCTTTTCTGAGTAAGGGTGACAACCATTAAACACCATTTAAATAATTGTATTTCAATTCTGGATTGCTATGACGGTCAACATAAATGAGGGAAAAGAGCAATGATGAGGGCATGAGTGTGGTGTTGCACATAGTCAATTAACATACTTCTCCCCTGTTCAGGAGTTGGAATTTCACAATTTCACAGAGGTTTTTGTACACAATGTCACCTAGTAAGACTGACACAATGGTTTTTTTAAGAATAGTAGAATTACTGTAGGAAAGAAAGTTGGGTTGCTGCAGAATGGACATTAGTCTTGGCGCATTCAACGAACAGCAGAACAGCCAGAATATCAAAGAATCTCCTCTGAAAGGCCAGAAAGTACTGCTTGAAGTCATGGGGTTCTGAAACATTCAGTTCTGAATTGTTTCCTTTATGTGGATCAGTGTCCTGTGCTTGATAGTTTTGAAAACCTCCAGTGTCGTGTTTTGAGCATCATGGCATATGCCCTTCTTGATAGCATCCATACTACCTCCAAATTAAATGAAAATCTTTGCACTGGTCAGTATTGAAGTTATTGTAACAATAAAACAAAAATGAAAAGTAGCTTAACAAAATTAAATAGTTTATGTTTAGCAAGTCTCAAAAGATATTAGTGTTTCTTTCTGAAATTTCAAAAGATTTGGGCAGTAACATCAAATCTTTTGGGCTATAATTATCAAAATTATATCTTTATGTCTATCTATTATATTAATGCAAACTGACACAACACAGAAAGTAAAGTTAAAAGAAAGAGTAAAAAGTGCAAATAAAAAAGAAGTAACTTCCAATGATTATCACAAGTATAAACAAATTTGGTAGTTGTTCACTCTCTATAAGGTTACAAACAGATGCCGCTTCTCATAAATTTGTAAAGAGTTGTCAAAATTTCATACTGGGATTATTAATTTCTGGCTCCATTCTTTGAAAGTCTCAAGCGTTTAGTGTTAATCTGAGGCAAAATAAAAGGTAATTGTGTTTTTTTCATTTTGCCTGGAATCCTTAGTCCCTTCCAATGACCAATTTAAATCAGAAGATTTCTAATCTCTGTTATGATTTACAGCAAACAAAAAGGTTCTTGTTTCTAACAAAAACTGTTTATTTTAATTAGCTAGTTCCAAAATCTTATACTAAAAGTTTCAATATCCCAAATTTGTCTGGCCCCTTGATTCATTTACAGCTTTCTTGGTTCAAAAATTCATTTAGCATTTTGCCATCTATTTCAAATTCTTTAAATTCTTAAATTTACTCAATTCTTAGACTCAACAGGTGACTTTTCAAATTTGTTATACTGAAGATTTTAATAGCCCTAAGATAGTTAAATAGGCAATTCCTGAAAAATGACTAGAAGGAGATTAGTGTCCTTTAAAAAGCTCTGCTACAGTTATGAGCTTGATGATCAATTTTTCTCCTAGCACTAAAACCTATGGGAGACCACTGTCTCCTCATGGAGAATAGCCACCCGGAGCACAGGTGGGCAATCCCCTATCCTCTCCTTATACAGAAAGATTTTGAAGAAATCTAGTCTATTCACTGATTCTTCAATCTTTGTCATAGTTGTTGTCTCCACTGTCCATGAAGATGTGTTTAGCTTGTTATTGCTACCAGAAATTGAACTGCAGTAATATCAAAATCTTGTAAGATTTCCAGTGGGACTGCAGCAGTCCATCTGATGACAAGATAATATTTCAGTCCATCCTTTCATGGGTGCTTATGGTGGATGGGGTGGGGTGCTATGGTTTGAATGTATTTATGTGGACGGCTTCTGGAAGGCAAATCACTTCTATTTCCACTTTCAAACCCATTCAAATTCCCCAAATGTGATGAAATTGCACTGCCATAATGTGATCATTTTGCTGTCAACCTTCAACAGTCTGCAGGTTTCCTAGTCTTGTCTTACATGATAACACACATAATGGCTTATCATTGGGTTGTGGGTTTTCTTTATTCTTCACTGACAACTACTGCAAGGCAACTTGGAAAGCAATGTTATCATGACATAAACATTTGTATTGTGAATAGAGAGAAGGAAATGAGGGACTGCTAACGTTAAGGCCCCTAGATTTGTTATATTACTTAAAGCTTGGAAGACAAAAACTGTGGTCCTGGTGAGCAACCCAGATTGGATCCTGCAACATGTCATTCTGGATCCTGGGACATGTGATTTGAGATATTACTTATAGTTTGATGGAAACAGCAAACTAGAATAAAGTAATTGTTAAAACACAGAGAAAGAAAGTTCAATCATAAGGATCATAAGATCATAAGAGTGAGTAAAAATATTAAAACTAATAATACAATATTTTATACACTGACAGATCTATAGTTAGAGAACATTACGATTTGGATTGCCACAAATTTTATAGATAAATAGCTAGACAGATAGACAAATATAGACAGATATACCGTATTTTTCAAAGTATAAGACGCACTGGAGTATAAGACACACTTAGTTTTTGGGGAGGAAAATAAGAAAAAAGCTGATTGGTGGGTGGATCGGCCTCCCAGAATACCCCCAATCAACTGTTCCCAGAGGTGAATTTTAGCAACAGGTTCGTTGGTTGTGAGCTCTGTGCCTTGCTTTTTTTCAGCCTCTGAAACTTCTGAAACTCTGTTTCAGAAAAAAACTTTTTTTTTGCCTCTGAAAGCCTCCGAAACAGAGCTTCAGAAAAAAAGACATTTTTTCTGAAGCTTCTTTCAGAGGTTTTTATTCTGGAGGACTATCAGTACTCTGTTCAATCTCCTTTCTTTGATATTGATATGTAGATTAACCTCTTCCAATCTGTTAGTTATTGTGTCATTCTCCAGATTTGTTAACATAGTATGGTTAGAACCTTTACTGATTCTTCTTTTGTTGCTTGCCATATTATTTTAGATAAAAGCCTTTCAGAGGCTTTTTTTCTGACGCTTCTTTCAGAGGCTTCTTTCAGCCTCTGAAACCTCTGTTTGAGAAACTGGGCGGGGCTACATTTGGAGTATAAGACGCACCCAGATTTTCACCCTCTTTTTGGGGGAAAAAAGGTGTGTCTTATTCTCCGAAAAATATGGTAGATATAGATATAGATAGATATAGACACATGCATACACCAAATTGCCCATCATTAAAAAGGAAAGGATGAGATAAGGGCCCCCATTTCACACCAGCAATCCTCTCAGTAATCCTACACAAGTTCACTTATTTTCTGCTACTAGTAGCAAATCAGAGATATGTTCCCCATCAGCATGATTATTCTGCCGGGCATCAAGAAAAGACTTTTCAACTATAAGGGTTATTGAGATTGGGAGAAACATTTATAGAAAATTTTATTTATGGAGAGATATCAGAAATGTCTTCTAAGGCAGAGAAATCTGAGAAAATCAATACTAAGAATAAGAAATAGTTGTATATTCAGATGCACTCAGGAGCATTAATTATAAATATATGAAACATTCTCAGTTGTACCATCTTTATCCCAAGATACTAATGAACAAGGGACAATATTAAACCAGAGGTGGGTTTCAGCAAGTTCTGACCAGTTCTGGAGAACTGGTAGCGGAAATTTTGAGTAGTTCGGAGAATCGGTAGTAAAAATGCTGACTGCCCCTGCCCCCATCTATTCTCTGCCTCCTAAGTCCCAGCTGATCGGGAGGAAATGGGGATTTTGCAGAAACCTTCCCCTGGAGTGAGGAGGGAATGGAGATTTTGCAATATCCTTCCCCTGCCATGTCCAGCAAGCAATGCCACACCCACCAAGCCACACCCACAGAACCGGTAGTAAAAAAATTTGAAACCCACCACTGTATTAAACCTACTCAAACTGTAGGCTTAAAATACTAGCTTGTTCCAATAATGGTACACAGTGCAATCATTCATGTCAGGATAGAAAGAAAGTTCATGTGCAAATCAAATGTACGCTATTATCTATAACTTTAAGTGTGATTGATTGATGACTAGTGTGTTTCAAACTTATAGCTTAAAAATGGGAAAGGAGAATCTCATGTTATTAAGATGCAATAACCTGAATGTGGCTAGTCAGTTTCATGGAAACTATCAGCTACCATAGTGGTTTATCAGTGGAACAAGAATGGAATAATAACATATTATGTTTGACCAATGATTTGTCCTATGGCCTTGTAATCAGTGAAGAAATGGCTAGTAAATTCCCCTAAGCCATACTGAAAGAGTCAAATGTTAGTAGCATTTAGGCATCCCCAGAGAAAATATACATTGCTTATGTGACTTACAGAGGAGTTGTAAATGAAACAGCCAGGGGAAATGCTTGTATTTTTCTTCATGAAAGAGATGCTCTCTCCTAAACTAAATGATGGAAATGGTTCACAAGACAGAATACAAAGTGACAAGAAGAATTTAATCAAGGCATTCACATGCTCAAAACTGAATTTCTGGGAAAATGTCAAGTAAACTAAAATAAAGAATAAAACTGCAGCATTGGTATCCAATGCTGATACAGTAGAGCACATGAAAGACATTATTCTATTGTGAGTTTACAAAAACTATTGTATCTAACATTATACCGGTACAGTACATTTTTTTCTTTACTATACAGGTAGTCCTCAACTTATGACCACAATTGAGTCCAAAATTTATGTTGCTAAGTGGAACGTTTGTTACGTGAGTTTTGCCTCATTTTACAACTTTTCTTGCCACTGTTGTTAAGAGAATCATTGCATTTGTTAAGTTAGTAAACTGTTTCTAAGTAAATCTGGCTTTCCCGTTGATCACACAGTTTATCACATGATCCTGGGACACTGCGACTATTGTAAGTATGAACCAGTTGCCAAGCAT